TACATGTACTTATGGTTTTGTTTCTATTCCTTCTATACACCGGAGTGAGATGTTCCTGATGTCTAATCGACCGAGTTACCGAAGCCCAAACAGACGACGACATTTTCGCTGACGAGGTGAGACGCCCTGAAGACCAACCCATGGACCAGATGCAGAGAATTCCAAACCGACCGGCGACCAACGCGACACACCACCTCCTCTGAGTCACCTGCCAAAGAGCAGAACCTCCGAGTCAAGATTTGCTTTTCAAGATTAATTTTCTTTGCCAAAAGTCAAGATTGATTTTCTGTTGTTTTCCATCATCTGTTTTGCTTTATGGATTCAGGACTTTTCGTATACCAGAGGGACTGTTTTTCCCCAAAGAAGATCGAGATTCATCGAGGGACACTGGGGAGCATATGACAAAGAGGAGGGAGTGTTGTGGAAATTTTATTATATGGAATGATATGGACATTGTATTGTAGGATGTGTGTGTTTTAGGGATTGTCATCTGTCTCCCTGTGTCGGACGTAACCGAGGAACGCTCTAGCAGAGGGTACTTGGGTTGAATCGAATCACCAGCTGCACCAATGTGTTTATATAAATCAGGCAAAATGGACTAGTATGTTGCGCTCGGTGTTGGTGGATCTCTTTGGTTTGGGGTAGGTTTAGTTGTCACTAAACACAATGTCAATGCTGATAGCCGATTTAATTGTGGATGGCATCGGTGCCCGACGGTTGCGGAATTCAGGATTGTGGTCGGCGTTGGACTACATGTCACAACCGCGGGGCGCAGATGCCATCCGCAATAAAATCAGCTCTCTGCTCCCAGCGGTTGCAACATGCAATGAAAATTATTAGTGCCCCCCCAGATTTGACTGTAGTATCTTATGTGCCCCCATATATTGTTCCTAGAGTCGCCACTAAAGGAAAGGCAGCTGTGTGCGTCATCTCTTTGCTGTTTCTCTTTGCCGAGTCTCCTCCTCCATGTTCAGGGGTCTATAGCACACACCCACAATCAGTTTACTATTAGCCTCCATCTTATTAAGGTCTAGCCACAAGGACTCTGCTCCGTCACAATTACCATCAGCGATGTCTTCTCGCATGTGCACATGCAGATTGCTCTTCACATACTGTACATGCATACCGCTCCTCCCCTTCTACCGACCGTTTCCCTCTGAAACAGACTGCACACTTGTATGTTACCTGCCCAGTCATGTGAGCTGTTCAGCCACATTTTAGTTACTCCCATAAAGTCACAGTCCTCCTCGAGTAATAGAAGTTAAAGTTTCTACAATTTGTTAGTTAGGCTTCTAACATTCATGTGCATATCCTTTAATCTAGAGCTAGTGTTATTCAGTCCATTATCAAGCAATTCTGAGTCACAGCTATTTTCCTCCAGACCTACTACATTGGACATTGATAAGGTTACTCTACTACGGACTAGATAGAGCCTCCTGTGCCCCTTCAATTCAGCCCCCTCTATATTTAAGTGCCCCTTTTGATTCCTGCTCTCTAAATGATACCCCTGTTTCCTTTCCCTCCCCCCGATATTCTAGTTTAAAAGCTCCTCCAGTCTTCTAACCATTTAATTTTCTCCCTTAGCAGAGCTGCTCCCTCCCCATTCATATGCAGCCCATCTCTCCTGTAGGTGGTAGCCGCCTGAAAAGTTAGCCCAGTTGTCAATGAACCCACACCCCTCTTTTCTACACCATTTGCGCAGCCACTTGTTCAGCTCTTTTGACTCCCGCTGCCTCTGATGTGGCTCATGGTACCAGTATTTTTTCCAGAACATACTACCTTGAAGGTTCCTGTACTCTTGCACCTAAGTCCTTGAAATTATTTTTTAGGACACTCCATCTGCCTTTAATTTTGTCATTAGTACCTATGTGTACCATGACAGCCTGGTGTTTCCCAGCCCCACCCAATAACCTGTCCATACGTTTTGCAATGTGTCAAACACGAGCCCCCGGTAAACAGCATACCCTTCGCTGCTCACGGTTCCGGTGACAGATTAACCAGTCTGTCATTCTAATAAGAGTCCCCTACTACCAGAATCTATCTTTCCTTTCCCATCTTTCTGTTCTCACCCTTACTGGTACAGTCACTCCCCCGGCAGACCCCAGAAGTGCTCTGCTCTAGCAATGCCACCCCTCAACTAATATCCCGAACATCATGCAACCGGGCACATTTATTAGGGTGTATCAATTCAGGACTGACCTCTCTAGCATTCTTCCCTCTACCCTGTCTTCTAACGGGAATCCGGCTACCCTGCGCCTCCATGTCGCCTCCTTTCTCTATACTAGCCTCCACCAGAACCTGAGGAGTCAGATTAAACTCCTCTCTGCGATGCTTATGCTCCGCAGTGTTGCCAGTTGATTTTATAGATCCAGCATCTGTGATTCTAAACAAAACAACTTTCTCACATCTAGCCCAACAGTATTCGTCTTTGGACGGTTGTTCATGAAGTGCATACAATGAGCACTGGGTCACATTTCCACTAATGGAAGACATAATTCCATAATCACAGTACAGCAACAGTACCCTCAATTATCACAGACATGCTACACTGCCCACAACTATTGCAATGCAGCCACGGTTTCCACAAATATCACAGTGCAGCAGTACCCCCACAGTGCCCACAATATTTTTTTTTACAGCATAGCCACAGAGTCCACTATTATTGCAGTACAGCTACAGAGTCCAACTATTATTATTTTTTACAAGGCCACTAAAATACCCACAGTTATTACAGTACTGCTTACAGTAAAGCAGTATCCCCAATTATCACAGATGACAGTAAAGCAGTACCCAAAATTATTACAGCAATCAATTTTTCGTATTCTATTTTAGCTGCCCAGATTGCACTTTTACATTTTCTATTGCATTCCTTGTAGTTCTCCAATACCAATATTGTCCCTTCCATCTTATATTTGTTAATATTCCGCGGGAGTGGGAAACGTGATCACATACAGACGGCAAAGGCTACTATATATAAGAAATCAGGTGGATATAGAGCCACCAGATAGCTTGTATGGTGCATGGGGGTGTGTGGACCCCCCTCCACTGTCCAATATTCCCGGCTCCGATGTCCCCTGTGCGGGCCGGGGACTGCCACGATGGTTCTCGGAGATCACAGGGAGATCAGCACAGTTCCACCGTTCTCAACCTGTCATTTCTCTGCCTGCTGTAGCTGGAGAAAAAGATGATGAAGCAGATCTCTGCTTCATCAGCTTCTTTGGGGCCCCTAGATGACATGGTCCCCTGATTAGGGATGCACCAATATCAGTTTTGCGGTATCGAGTACCAATATTTATCTTTTGGGACTCGCAGATACCGAGTACAGATAACGGTACTTACGCTAGCATGGAGTCGGGTCCCGGGCAATCAAGAAGATGAGTGGCGGGTAATGACACTCCCCCCGGCTCCTTGATTGCCCGTGAAGCCGGCTCCATGCTGTTTGGCCAGCTCGATGCCAAAAGGCCAGGAAGCCGGTTTCCCAGCCAATCAGCATCGAGCTGGCCAAATAGCATGGAGCTGGCTTCCTAGTCTATCAGGAAGCCAGGCGGCGAGGACAAAAGCAGGGGCCCAATCCAATTTAAGAAGTGCTTCTCAGGCGACCGCGCTGACCGAGTGCTCGCAGTTTGCAAGTAAAATTCAAAATCCCTATGCTGGATTACAAATAGTACACCCATATCGGCAGAGGGGAAGGACCGTTCGCTGAAAGTTAAGTATAGCAAGAGGGGAGAGGGGGCCAGATTTCAGCGGGTAATTCCATTTTCTCAATGCACACTGATCATGTTAGAGAGCGCTGCTGCCACAATAGAGCACACAGTGGAATGGGAGCAAATTTTATACACAATGCCCTATGTGTGTGTTAATTCGCATGCAGATGGTGGGGTTGGTTTTAATTTTTTTTTATATGTATTTTTTACTTTATCACATTTTTATTTTACTTTGACTTATTTTGTTAAGTTTTATTTATTTTATTTTTTAATCGCTTTTTCACATTTTTATTTTATTACTGTTTTTCACCTAACTTTATTGCTATAACACAGGAGCTTACAAACCCCTATGTGATAGCATTTGGAGTTGACAGGTTCTCTTTATGGAGCCTGCCCTCAAAAACACAAGATCGGGCACAGCATTGTGCTCGATCATCTGTGCAGCCCTGCTTGTAACAGCGGAGACAGGAAGCTCTGTGAATACAGCAACAGAACGTACATCCTGAAGTCATTTGCCGTGGTCCCAAATACCCAAGAAGAGCAAGGGACCCCAAAAACCACGGCGGGGGGGACGGACAAGCAGGCTTCTACAAGTGATCTGGGCAACTTTACAGCCGCCCAGATTACTTGTACAAACAAGCGGCGCCTCCTCTGCGCTACATTTAGCCCTGCATGTCCACAGCAGGGTTAAATGTAGAAAGAAAAAAAAATCACCTGCCCGGAGCTACATGTCCCGGGCGTCAGGCGTAGGAATCCCACACTTCTGTACCTACAATTATTAAAGCTACAGCTCACGGTATACTGAGCCTAGGGTGACGGGAGGACGCTAGTTTGTGTCCTCCCGTTACCCTAAGGAGAACTATGGGGAAAAGCCTTAACCCCATAGTTCTCCTTTAAAGTAAAGCAGTACCCACAATTACAGTAAAGCAACATAGACAGCAACATTATTAACAAACTGTTTACGGTTAGCTCTGTAACAAAGACCAGAGGGCACAACCAAACATTGGTGGAAAAAAAATTCCAACACACAGGGCGCAAGGGGTTCTTCAAAGTCAGAGCGGTTAAGGTCTGGAACTCGCTGCCGCAGGAAGTGATCTCAGCTAAGAATGTGGAATCATTCAAGAAACTCCTGGACGAGTTCCTTGGAGACCATAACATACAGGGGTACAGGTACGCCTAAGAGCAAAATCCCACACTAATACACACACACACACCTGCTCAAACATAAATGCATACACAATAGGTTGGACTTATGTCTTTATTCAACCTCAAATACTATGTAACTATGTAACTTACATCAGTATCCAGAAGGTTGAGCATGCTGGTCTCTGCCACATCTTTAGACTCAATGAACTTTTCCCAAGCTTGTCGCAGCTCCTCATCTGGTATTTTCCCCTGGCGCTTTTTTTTGTAGTCATAATCCAATCTGCGACCTTCAAGTTTCTTCAGGTGATGCTGAGAAAATGGAGCCAATTTTACAGTTAAATGGGTTTAGGGGGAACAGTTAACAGACAAGTTTCTAACATCAGAATGCAAAAGATGACTTTATGGACAGAACTCAACTGTGTTGTAACCTTAGAATTTACCTGATGCAAACCCTTTCTTGACCTTTTCCAGGTCAAAGCTGCAACGGCATTAAAGTCATTCTTGTTCCTAGATTAATGCATGCAGAAAATGCTATAAAGCACTGAGGCCTCATATCCTGTGCCCTGATTATTACTGAACCTCACCTAAAGCAATTGTCACCCTACGACCAAAAATATTGCAAAATGCAACTATAAACTGATTTGTTATACACATTCATTTTATAGCACTTTATTTAAATTGCAATGAACCTAAATTCAGGAAAACCCAGCCTTAATGTAAAACGCACATAAAGCAATCCTAAAAGGCCCAAGGTTGCCCATAGCCACCCTGGCTGAGAAAAGCTAAGGAATGTACAGCTCGCTGTGGAAAAATGGTGTATGACTTCAAAATGTGGGCGTGGTTTAAGAAAGCATGAGTAAATATCACTGGAGTAAATCAGATGTGATCAAAGAAGATCAGATCAAAAGGCAGTACATTGAGGATCGGAATACCAGATTGAGTACAAAAGTATAAAGTTTATTGGAATGTATTAAAAGTGATGGGTCACAAACACACCTACTATCTATCACCAGATAACCCTGCTGAACAATTTAAAAAATGGTCAATCAACCAAACACTCATACAAAACCAATCATGCCAGCTGGTCAAAAAATCTCGTACCGGTACAGCTCAAATTAAGAGCAAAAAACAGCGCTGAAATGTAAAGGACTTGAAAAGGAACATGTATCAATGGGCTAGGGATAAGTGACTGAGGTGTTGATTCTAGTCGCTACTATCAAGCTAATAAAGTCAGAGAATTGCAACATACAGTTGATGGTAGAGGATATGTTTCATTTGCGGCCACTACAGTGGGTACAGAGTGCAGGGGTGTGGAATTCGTATCGCCCGACGCCCGGGACACGTAGTTCCGGGCGCCGGGCAAGTAGTTTTTTCACTGAACAAATTAAATTTTTTTACAAATTAAATAAAAAATGAAAACTAGTCCCGCTGCCCCATCTGCATGTGAATAAACTGCGATTGTGTGCTACCGCTCGGAAAACGCTGCAACCTGCCTGGCACGACTGGGGTGCCATTAGAAAATAATGGCATTGCCAGCGCGATTGGCGGTGGTGTGCGATCTGTGACTGCCCGGTCATCGTGCACGAAACCGAGCGGATGGCTGGGTGGTCACGGAAGTGCACACCACCGCCGATCGTGCTGTCAGTGCCATTATTTTCTAATGGCACCCCAGTCGTGCCAGGCAGATTGCGCGTTTTCCTCCAGCAATCACGGTTGAAAACACTGCGCGGTGCATGTCGTGAAAATAGGTACATGTACCTTTTTTTCAGCGATTGCCACCCAGATGTAACCCCTTACATGCGGAGGCTACCGCACACGATCGCACGTCCCGGGAATCCGCAGGTCTGCACCCACCCTAAAGGGTAAATTCACTTTCCCAAGTAATTTGGGGAAATGGAATTACCCGCACAAATCTCCCTCCCACTATACTTACCTTTCGGCGAACGGTCCTTCCCCCTCCACCAGTACGGGTGTACTATCTGTACCTGTTCCATGTATTCTGAATTTCGCTCGCAAATTGCAAGCACTCGTTGGTCAACGCGGTCACCTGATGGCACTGACCAATGAGAAGCACTGCTAAACATGGTTTTGGTTAAAATAATTTTTTTGGTATCAGGACAAGTAGATTGTCATGAAGGACAAGTAGATTCGGCCCCCGCTTTAGTCCTTGGACAAGTAGTTTTTTCCAAAATTTCCACACCCCTGGAGTGAGTTCATGGAATGCCAGTTGCCTCATCAGGCACTGATATGATATGGATGTAGTCAGGGGCGTATCTGCCGCGAGGCAAACAAGGCGTTTGCCTCGGGTGGCAGATTCCGGCCGAGCGGCGAATGTACCGGTCCGCGAGTCGGTACTTTGTGGCCGGCAGCCAGCTCACAAGTCAGGCACGCGGTCGAGGACCGCGTACCTGACTTGCGGGAACAGCTACACAGTCTGCATCTCTGTCGGATGCAGACCCTGTAGCTGAGTCTGCGCCGGCACCCGGATCCTTTCAGCCAGCGCTCTTTCAGTGAAAGCTGGCCGAAAGGATTGTGCAGGATCTATTGATGAGGTCTGCAGCAGACCTCATCAATCAATCGCCGACAGACGTGCCGCCTCGCAGCCTCCTCCCTGCAACAAGGTGAGCAGGAGAGGGGGCTCTGAATAGGTGCCGGG